CAAAGTCTATAATGGAGAATGTCACATCAGGTGTCAAAGTCTCTGCCTCGACAAACCAAAAAATGTAAAAATGACAAGATCGAAAGTTGATAGAATATTTTTTCGTGTCTCGAGTTCTCGGGATTCAGTCTGTAATAAGTTGGGCTTCATGCATATCACATTCACATATCCAAAACTGAAATTACTTGTCTCGACCGCTCAAAGTTTTCCTTTATTGGTTTGTTCGTTTGTGATGGATTTCGCGTAAAGCTACACGAGGGCTATCCGCGATAGCCGTTCCTAATTTAGCAGTGTAAGACTAGATGGAAGGCAGCTGGTCATCATCACCCACCACTAACTCTTGGGCTACTCTTTTACCAACGAAGTAGTGGGATTGGTCGTATCATTATAACGCCCCCACGGCTGAAAGGGCGAGCATGTTTGGTGTGAGGGAGATTCGAACCCGCGACCCACAGATTGCGAGTCGAGCGCCCTAACCACCTGGCCATGCCGGGCCTCATTTATTGGAATTCAAAATCCAATGTAGGAATTTTCTGCTGTGCCCACGACACAACCAGCTGGTTGGAATATCAGGTAATGTAGGAATTATCTGCTGTGCCCACGACACTACCAGCTGGTTGGAATATCAGGTAATGTAGGAATTATCTGCTGTGCCCACGACACTACCAGCTGGTTGGAATATCAGGTAATGTAGGAATTATCTGCTGTGCCCACGACACTACCAGCTGGTTGGAATATCAGGTTTTACTCATTTCTATGTTTAATGCAATATTTGCTGCTCCAGGCTTCCAGTGTGCACAGTATACAATAGGGGATCATTTAAATTTTCTCTAGTCATTCTAAGCAAACTTTAATTCAGCTAAAGTTGTGTTTAAATGAACAAGAATATCACTATTCTTTACTCCAATATCATAGCAGTTTACCAACTTTTCTCAAGTAAGTACCTATGTGAAATTTAATGAGAGCTAAGAATAAAATGACCAGGCTTGTGGCGCTACTCGTAGCTGTTATGCAGAGTCCCAAGCTAACAAAGAAATTTAAGAAAGTCCTCGTTAACTCGCCAGTCACACATTTCCACTTACCACGTAACTTTACCTTCAGTCCAAATTATATTACTTCATATATTTTCTCTATATAATACAATCGATTCGCCAGTGTTAATCTGTCATGGCTGCGTTTATGTAATTTGTGCTCATTACTTATACTTTTTCCATACAATGTTTCTAACAATCAGTTAGAACAATCTTCTAAAACATAGGATTACCGATAAGCAAGACTTTAAATACCTTATATTAAAATAATTTTGGAGCTTCATAATGCTGTTACATTTCATGTTGCCACGCCTGGTCATGCTCTATTTGATGAACATAAAACTTGAAAATATCATTGCATCACAGTTTTCATTGCAGAAAGCTTATTTATAAGACTGTAATGTCCGAAGCATAACATTCCTCTCTGCAGGCTTCCCATAAGCCATTTAGAGTACGAAAGCGATAGTTTTCCAGTATCAGTTAATCATTTTATGATCCAACAGAATCCTAAGGCATTGCATCCATCAACATGGCTGGTGTATATTTGTATAGAATATCACGAATACCCATTCCATTCTTCAGCTGTTTGAGGTTTGTAATGGCTGAACAAATATGTTTCACTCTTACAGACAGAAATATTTCTTTATTACGTTGTGCATTGTTGCATGGTATACGTGACAGCTTTTGCTACTAACTTTTTTGTTCATGAATTTTAACTTACGACGAGATGTTTGCACTTTGCTTACCACAGGAGGGGGTGTGACTTGTCCCAGGACTCTTTCTGAATAATGTTGGCTTTAGAGCAAAGCCACTTTGGGCTATCTGCTGTGTTCACCGCAAGAAATCGAACCCCGGTTTTTAGCATTGCCAGTCTGTAGAATTACCGCTGTCCCACCGGTGGTCTCTTTCTGAATGACGTTAGTTTTAATGCAAAGCCACATTGGGCTATCTGCTGTGTTCAACGTGGGGAATCGAACCCCAGATTTTAGAGTTACAAGTCCGTAGACTTACCGTTGTCCCATCAGTGGACTCTTTCTGAATGATGTTAGTTTTAAAGCAAATTCACATTGGGCTATCTGCTGTGTTCAACGTGAAGAATCGAACCCCGATTTTTAGTGTTGCAAGTCCGTAGACTTACCGCTGTCCCATCAGTGGACTCTTTCTGAATGATCATATTTCTCCAGGTTAATTTATATTCCAATGTAATTAAGTACAAGGGATATCCCCATCTTAGAACTCCCCTATCTGCACAACATTCATAAGCCAAGTGTATGAATATTTTACATTGGATATAGTTAGTACATCAGATTACATCAGTTAGTACATTTTTTTGGTTTTTTTTTACGATAGAAGAAAGGCAGGACTGAATGGTAGTCAAAATTATGAATAAAACCAAACTAATTTTCGATTAAATAACTTTGTTATTTCGTAAATAAATATCAATATTAAAAATATATATATAAAGATAAGATGAAAAGTATTCAAAATTTTCGAGTAAAGATATGAAAGCGCAAGAAAGCTTTTGAATTTTAATCGAAATGATGTATTTTTTTACTCTATAATCAAGTTTTTTCTTGGAGGGGGGGGGGGGAAGAGTTCAACGTAATCATAATTTTCAATAAAAACAAGAAATGTCTGGATTTTGTTTTTGTAACCATACATAAATATTAGATTTTTGATAGTAGAAATTCCTGTGAAGAAAGACAAACATGAAGATAATAAAAATGTTAATATTTCTGTTTATAAAAATGTTTTGATAAAACTTCAACAGAAAATCCTTAACTGCAATGTAGAGTGTCAAATGTGTATAAAAGCTACCCTGAATGACGAGAACGTTTCAGTAAGAAGGTAATAGAACAAAGAGAACGTTTCAGTAGAAGGTAATAGAACAAAGAGAACGTTTCAGTAGAAGGTAATAGAACAAAGAGAACGTTTCAGTACAAGGTAATAGAACAAAGAGAACGTTTCAGTACAAGGTAATAGAACAAAGAGAACGTTTCAGTACAAGGTAATAGAACAAAAAGAACGTTTCAGTCCAAGGTAATAGAACTAAGAGAACGTTTCAGTACAAGGTAACAGAACACAGAACGTTTCAGTACAAGGTAAGAGAACGTTTCAATAGAAGGTACTAAAACAAAGAGAACGTTTCAGTACAAGGTAATAAAACAAAGAGAACGTTTCAGTACAAGGTAATAGAACAAAGAGAACGTTTCAGTACAAGGTAATAGAACAAAAAGAACGTTTCAGTCCAAGGTAATAGAACAAAGAGAACGTTTCAGTACAAGGTAATAGAACAAAAAGAACGTTTCAGTCCAAGGTAATAGAACAAAGAGAACGTTTC